AAAAATATTGCTTGTACTGTCAAGGTATTAAAGGGCTTTTATTGTTTCTGACATTTAAAGAGCACTCATTTCAAATGCTTCATCACTGGCAAGAATCGAGTCAAATTCTCTTTTGAATTCTGCATAGCTTTCATACCTTGCAGACAGAATAAGAGTTGAACTGCAAGTTGAAGCAGATGGGAAACGGCTCAAGCTTTGTGCACCATTGAAGCTCACTTTTATGCCTGGCTTGCGTGGAGTTGACGTTGAACCTGTGACAAAGCGGAGAAATTGTCTAAGATGGTTTGTGTCCATGTCCCCAACATATATGGTTAAAAAGTTGAAAACTCGTTGTTGTTCAGCTCTAAGATCTTCATGTTCCTTCAACAGCTTTTTTAAAACTTTTCCGGGTGTGGGTGTGAGGTCTTCATACAACTTGCATATCTTGTCAGTTGTGAGTTCTTGCTGTAGAACAACTGGGTCTTGGATACCCTTCCTCATAGCAGATAAAAAGAACATCGGTTTGAAAATGAATTCAGCTCTTGCCATTGTAAGGATATGATGTAACAATTCTTCTTCTGATTTGGCAGGCAAACATGTCATGGCAAATCTTTGGTATAGGCCAAACACGGCATCTTTCTTATAATCAGGCACTATATTGCCCTCTAGAATAGAACAGAGAACATCTCTTTCAAACTGGGTGACATACCACAGGAATGATCTTTTGAGTACATCATCTGGAACAGCTTCTTCTCCATGGAGCATTGCCATGAAGCTGGCCTCACAGAATTGCACTGGAATATTCTTAGTTAGTCTCCAGCCATGCTCCAGAATTCGTCCAAGTGCTGGTAAAATCTCCTCGCTCATTTGACTCATTTTCAGTGGTGATGCCAATGGTATTTTGACAACATCTCCATCRAAGAATTCATCAAAGGCAGCCTTCCAAAAGGCACTGAAGAAGTCTTCAGTGACACCACCAAAGTCCAGTCCTCTTTCCCCTTCAAAGGTTACATTAAGCTTGCAATCAATGAGGGTAGGATCCTGGTATAGTTTTATGACATCATGGAGGATAGTTTGTCGATTAACTTTCACCTGACGTACTTCTACTGGAAGAGAATCATTGGTTGGATCTTCTAAATCTGAATATGAAAAAGAAAAGATAAATCAGTTATTGTTATGACAAGTGATAAAACAAAATTGCATATTGTCACAGAGACATTTCAGATGTGCTGCACTTTAAGAACAGTTTTGGGAAAAATGAGAGA